TGAGATCAGATTTATTTGATAAATATTAAATTTGATCTCATTCTGGTGGTAACCGTATCAACCATCGTATCGTATCAGCCAATGTTTGTCCGGTCAATCAATCGATATGTTAAGGACGTAATCTGATTGGTGCGTCACCGCGCCGTTCTCGTATGCGTGAGTTATTCCATAAAACGTTAATCTCCAGCTATGTCGCACCCCCGAGAAGTCGCATTTTCAATATCTTCCCACTTTTTCGAAAACCCAAACCAATCGTATGTCTAATAACATAGTTTCTGACTCTGTGATGTCGCACCCCTCAATATGTCGCAGTTCCTGATACGTACTCACTTCCTCGTTGACCGATAGTCGGGATGACCATTGACCATCAACTCTGAAATGCCGCACTCAACCAATGACGTTGCACCTAGTGTGATGCGTTCATGGCACTGTTCACTGATTGGATAATCCCTGCGAGGAAGTCACACCGATACAAGTGAGCGGAGACAGTGTCATTTGACGTCAAAATGCGCAAGCGCCTATCGATCAGAGAGAAGCAGAATGTGTTGGAAATGCTGAAACAGCCAGATGCAATTCAGAGCTCAGTATCCAAGTCACTTGGAATTTCACGAAAAACTGTCTGCAATGTTGTATCCCATCGAGCGACCATCGGGGAATTTTTGAACGCTGGTGCATCTGAGGAAAGATGCCAAGAGAAAAGCAACGAAAAGTTCAAGACAATGCATGGCTTGGTTTACTGCTACGAGTGAAATGCACGTAGAGTTCCAAATGGCGGAGAGTATCGTACGCGGGAAGGCAATCCAGCTCGCACAAAGATTGCATCATAATGACTTCAAGGCTTCCAAAGGTTGGTTTCGCTCTTAGTCAGACAGATATGGTATTCAATCGTAACTCATATACATTACTTTATAGGTCTGTGGGGAACGTTTAACGGTACCACGTGATGCAGTTTGCTAATTTCGAGCGGGGTTACCTCAGTTGATGCACGAATATACTGATTGTGATATTTTCAATGTTGATGAAACAGCTTTGTACTACTACAGGCAGCTCCCAGAAAGAACATTAGGTCTGAACGGAAAGACAGTTTCTGGGTCTAAGAAATTCAAAGAAAGAGCCACATTACTGCTTTGTGGGAGCTTGACTGGAGAAAAGTTATCCCCTCTGGTGATTGGAAAGTTTCAAACTCCACGATGCCTCCGAGATATAGATAGAAAAAGCTTTTCATGCAGTTTTAATTCTTCAAAGAACTCACGAACGACTTCTACGTTATTTCACAGTTGGTTGTCCGATATCAACCGCAAAATGGTTTCTCAAAGGTGCTCTATTTCACTATTTATGGACAACGCTCCTTGCCGCGACCAAGCATCAGTATTCTCCAACGTCAAATTGGTACGGCTGCCTCCGAATTGCTCTTCGATGGTACAATCAATGGATCAGGGTGTAATTTGGTCTTTTAAATGTTCGTTTCGGAAACATTTACTGGAATGTGTTTTGTCTTTGATGGAAGAGGAGCAACTTATCATGAAAGCCCAGGTGGACATCCTCATGGCCATGCATTTGGTCAAGAAAGCTTGGGTGTCTGTGCATCCATACGTATTGATCAACGCATTCATGAGACCTGGATTCATATCCACAATGAATCAGCCGGTGATGCAGCCATCAGAGGATAAATGCGACATGATCGCAGACTTTACTCAGTATGTCTATTGATGACCGTCTTTTGAAGAAGGAATCGCCTGTTTAGAATTTGATGAAGAAGTGGGTTATTTAAAATTTTTGTATCAAGTCTCTTTGCTAGTCATTAGATGAATTCTCTTCGAATCAAGCTAAGCATCGCAAAGAAGAAGATACACGTGAAGCAGTGAATGCTCCGTAAGTTATCTCAATCAGAGAGGCGCAGAAGTTATTGGATCATTTGAAGCTGTTTGCCTTGGTTAGTGCTCGGAGCTCGGGTCGATTATTGGAGTGTACAAGTGAGTTAAACAACACGTTTGTTGATTTTCAAAGGAGAGCCAAGCTGAGACAAACGGTGATTTATGATTGTGCCAACAATACATCTTTGTAAACAGCTAATAATCTATAGGTGTTCTGGATCATTTCTAATACATCTTTGTATTCTATAAAGTTTTTTTTAGCAATTCTGTGGGGCACTGAACTGAACTGCGAGGGACTCGAATGTGATCATTTTTGCTACAGTGGTCACCAAAGCCACGGTCATTCGGTCTATCAATGGGCTCCGTCACACTAACGTATAAACGGATGAACGATATTCGCCAATGACTATTAAGCGGATGAGTGGAGTGAAATGTCAGATCCGAGCGATCGATAACCGTCGCGCGGACGTGAATGAATGAACGATACTCTCACTCGTCCTGGAGCACCGATTAAATCAGACAGGTCACCTGCCAAAGGTCATCTTAATTGGGGTCTAAGGTCAGAGATGCACTTTTAGTTTATGAATCGTTAATTGCTTAAAAATAGTGCGTGTTTCTTAGACAGGTCAACTGATTCTCTTGTGGTGAATCTCTACCTACACTTAAGCAGCATCCAATTCAGAACTGATTCTCTTCCCATGCCGGCCTGAAAACCACACGACCGATCGGGTTCATTTATCGATTTTTATGGTACTTATTAACATTTACTACTGACTACCCTGCTACATCACAGTTCCTGGAATTTGCTCACTTTTTTCAAATTCCCGAAGGGTGCGATATGGCAGGAGATTGACTGCATTTGCGCATCCAAGTCTAATGGAAAGATGATACACGCTGACTGTTGTCTCTAACCTTGTTCTCTCTCTACGTTGTTGTTGCTGTTGGGGCTTAAGCAAGAGTCGCTCATGTCATTCGTACATCTCGACCGTACACAAAAATAAATAAGTATGATAGGATAAGGGATTAAACTATAGGCATTTCAACTGGTACCATTCAAAAAGAACGCTGATTTCTTCTCTTCATCGGGTTTGGAACAGGTCATCCACAGAACAGTCGAACACGTTCAAAATAATCCTCTATATCTTGTGGATTGCAGTTCAGGTCTAGGGATTCAAACGAATGATTCAGTAGACCGATAGCGACAACAAATGTTGTATTGTGAAATGCAGTTCCGAATTTCGCGCAATACCGAATTGAAACAATAAAATAACTCCGAATGAAATAATAATAATAATAATAATAATAATAATAATAATAATAATATTTTCGTATTGTAAGTATGCCCATGATGTTGTACATGACATAATGTTTTCGAACTCCTCCGTGTACCCCAAACTTATGCAGAATATTTCACTGCTCACCAATTGGTCTTCACAACACAATCTTGGAATGAATCCTTCCAAGTGTAATGATGTTTTATTCTCTTTACTGAAGGGTGATCAATATATTGATGTGATGAACTCTTGTCAGTATGTCATTATCAATGTTGAAGAAGTTTCCAGAGCATGCTCCGTCAAATATCTTGGGGTCACCATTTCCCGCAATCTGTCTTGGTCTCCTCATGTCGTCGACACATTTAAAAAATTCAGAAAACTCACGTTTTACATTATTCGTTTGAAGTTGCTATCTACCCCAACTCACTTAATAAAGCGTTTTGTTTTATCCTGTATCCTTCCCCACTGGTTTTATGCACCCCCTGTTATTTTTCCGGGTCTTTTAATCAAAGACTTCAAACTCATACGCACGTCTATCAAACACGTATGTCGATACAGCGGCATATCCCTTGAGTGTGTTGTGCAGTTTATTATTTCACAGCACCTTAGGGCATGCCAGAAACTTTCTACCAGAATAATACTTAACCCATCTCACCCACTGTACCTTCATCTTAGTCAATGTATCTCCACATCTAGCACTCGTTCCATGTATAAACATATAGCACCACTACATACAAGTCTTCTATAATACCGTACCTGGCACGGTTTCTTACCAACGCAGATCCTGTCATTGGGACTCCTAGACAAAATCTTTGCTAAATTGGCTTTTTGTTTATGTAACGTATCGTCATATGTTTTGTTACCATGTAATTTCCAAAGAGCTGTGATTGTGTGGTAGCTGAATGTTCATCCCCTATAGGGAGAATTAAAGCCGCTTCTTGACTTGACGTGACTTGAGTGTGTAATTTAATGCATTAAAAATGTTCAGTAGTTTTGCTGAGGTAAGTTTCATACATCATACTGCATCAATCGTTTGCAGTCAGAGTTTGCGATATATGGAATTCTCATCCATCTCATGTCGTATGTGCACTTGCAAGTTGAATCATTCAGATCACAGCTTAACAAAGCATTGAAACGCTTAACATTTCAACATCTGTGTGAGTGATCATACATAGTACTATTATTCTGAACTCTTGAAGTTCTCCGAAATATTCCGTAAAAATCCTATGGGACATGATAAGCGTTAACTTTGTTAAGTCGTTCATTACGTAAAATTTTGAACTTGGAAGCGGGTGCAAAGCTGAAAGAGAATTTCACTCTCATACTGACAAAACTCTGCGTAAAATATTATCAATTATTACGCTCTGTCTGCCGTTCGGTTCATTCCATTTGTATTCAAGCTAGCTCTGACACTATGCTCCGGCTAAAATTGACCAATCTATCAATTTCACACGCTAAAACAGAGGCGTTTCCCATTCGGGTTGGTTAATGTAATGTATTTCTGATAGTCTGCGTCAAACCAAGTCCTTAACAATCACGTGATCTCATTCATAATTACATTTCAGTGAATGTGCCGATCGATAATCTCTTATCGTTTGAATACCTTTCAGCAATTCAATGTATCCGAATGGTCAGAACGATTGCACAGCAATTAAAACGAAGCTTCAGAAATGTCGGACCTACTTGGTCATTCATGCTGTGAGTATTGCGGTGAACAAAATATGGAAAATTTGGGGTCTACTATTTTGCCTAGTCCAATTTTGCATTTTATTTTATTTTTTAATTTGGAAGTCCTATCCAGTCCGTTCATTGAATTCGAGCATTTTTGCAGTCACAATAAAATGGCCCGAATTGTCTGGAGGCAAATCATTATATAAATATACACGTTGGCTTGGTTTGGGACAATTGAATGGAAGCCTATTTCAAACGGATTTTTCCACTGTGACGTGTGCCGGTCATTCGTTATCATTGCCGGAGGAAATTGCGCGCCAATTTCAAATGAGGTCATTTACCGGGACTGAAAACTACGCGTTTCCAACACACACGGATATTGTTCAACGGATCTGTCAATTTAGACAAGGTCTTTCAGTTCTTTCCGGGACAATCAAGAACAGAGAATTTGAGCCTATTATTCTCTCCACTAATACATGTGATACAAATCGTGGCAGCAGATTGGATTTGCTAATCCTTATCAAATCGGCTATCATTTATCGATCACGACGCGCGACCATACGGAATTTGTGGGCAAACAATCATTGTTGGGGTCAGCTCAATGTTCGTCATGTATTTGTACTGGGGACCATGAAAAACACTTCCAGTCTGTGGTCCAAATTGATTCAACAGGAGTATCGACTATTCGGAGATTTGATCCAGGGCAATTTTATCGATCACTATTATAACAACACACATAAAATGATTTTTGCCATACGTTGGGCTGTCGCATTCTGTCCGGAAACGCGATGGATTTTATTTGTTGATGATGATTATTTCGTAGATACCAGACTGGTTTCAAATTTTCTCACACAATTAGATCCTCGTCTGACATCGCGTCTATTGATCGGTAATGTGTATGCTGCTTCGCCAGTGTATCGTCGTGGAATCGATCGATCCAAATGGACCGTGAGTTATTCGTTGTATCCGTATCACACATATCCGAAATTTGTTCCGGCCGGGTTTTTTCTATTGGGCACGGATTTGGCTTTGGACATCTATGTGGGATCACGTTACACACGATTTTTCCCGTTCGATGATGTGTTCCTCGGCTTGATCATGAACAAACTGCTCTTACGTCCGACTCATAAGAGCGAATGGCGGATGCAAACGAGTGCACAATTTCGTACAAACCAGTCGTTCGCATGTCACGGTGTGATCACTTCGACACAACAACAAATCTACTGGAAAGCAGCCCATTTGCACAGTATGTGTTTGCACACAGTGGATCAACTGTCTGTGCTTTAATATGATTCATCTCATCTGTACAATGTGCTTATATACATCTATATGAATCCTGATTTAGTTTTCTCTACTGTCAAAATTGGAGGTGGTAGAGATCTGATTGCGAATAGCGAAAACTAGAGCAGCTTTCTCGAACCTGCAACACCTGTGGCGCCAACACGACTGACATCCAGCTGTCTCTTAAGTTGAAGGGTGTGTATCACTGCGGTTCGCAGCGTTCTACCTTACCAGACCCCTCCACCTTGAAGATGCTAATCAACTTTCTTTATTCGACCGTCAATGTCTCCTAGCCATTGCTCGTGTCCGGTTGAGACATCGGGTAAACAATGACGAGGTTTGTCGTCGTCCTGTGTTGGGTGTAGATAGTCGCTCTCGAACAGAAGTAATCGCTCTACATTACCTCTGATGTCTTGGTCATGTATTGCGTATGCTTGCCCATTGACTATCTTGCTCTGTGTTCTGTTTCCACGTGCCGGTCAAGGCTGGAAGAAGCGCCGTGGTGGTCAAACTATGACATGATGTAGATGTATGAAAAAGCTAACCAGTACTATAAAAATATATATGTATATATAAAGGTTCAACCCTGACCAGGATACTCTGTCCTAAGGGGTCGCGTTAGGCTTCTAAACCGAGATCATGGGAACCGGTGGCTAGAGACACTAAGTGATATGGTGGAGTATCGCAAACAGTGGCGTTCATGCATCTACTCACTATCCTTGGAACCCCAAGGTCTATCTGAATGCCCTATCTTCTATTTGACTCTCCGGATACCACTCCAAATGGGCAGCCAAAAGACAGCAACCAATACAAAACGGCTCACGAAGGTGCATGGTTGTAAAAACTGAACTGAACTGCCGGCTATATGTGACGAATCACACGTAGACACTGGAACACATTTTAATTTTAATTTGACTATGTGGCTCTATTAGCCCGAAGAAGAAGAAGTTGATATACTGGAGACAAGGCACACAACCAATATTGATCAATCATTCTGCACCATCATTACCACACGCCATCATCTCTGCTGAAACACCTTCGGTTTACCATTCTATACACAGCCCAGGAGTTAGTTATCCAAACGTTGGATCCTCCTTGTGGAACGAAAGGTAGTTTGTTCGAGCTCTAAACTTGCCGTGGCCTTGGATGAAGCACACGTTCTGTACTTAGTTTGATATGATCAAAACCAGATCGACGAGATCAAAATAACCGTATATAATTGTAATGTCTCGTCGTTTAAAAAAAACTGTTGGAACTGGCCTCATTCGACATTGACTAATTACTGTGTTTTAATGGAACAGTTTACCAAACGACGCTGGGCCGAACCTAATCGGGAACGCTAATCCAGCTGACTCGGGTCGCGGAGTGACGAGAACCGCGGGGCTCATTTGATCGAAACGGAACATCGTGTCAGAATGAGTGAGACGGTCAGGCCCATCTGTCTGTGCAATCACCGCGGTGAGATCGCGGCAGGTCAAGCATCACGATTCGTTCGAACAACCCCGCCTNGCACCCGTTGTGCATTCAAAAACGGTCCGTCAGAGCTCCAGCGACTTATTGCGGTCAACCATAAACACACGAGTGATATCAAATCATTTTTATCGCGTGAGTGTCAACTGGTTTGTGTATTTGACTCATTCGATAGTACATACACGTTTGCAGAATGATTTGAACTCTCATACGACCCCTTAGTGTTTTCTCCATAGACACACGCATACAAAAACAGAGGTATGATCTACAATTTTTGACTAGTAAACGGTGGACCGAAAACAAGCTTGTTCACCAAACTGATTTATTCATGTCGTGATGTATTTGATGCTGGTCATCCCGTTGTGATAAGCGGTTGGCTACAGTAACAAAAAAATATTTCAGTGTTTTGCAGATAAATTTGTTTCATCCATATCACATTCAGTTCCGACATGCCATAGTGCTGATTGTGTCAGATGAAAATATTGCACATATGACCATTGTGTGTGTGTGTGTATATATAGAAAGGCGATAGCAAGAGATTTGATTGAGACTTGATAATCGATTAAAAACTGTGATAAGCGTTGAAGCACTGCATAGCGACTTCAAACCTTGCTTGTTACAATGCAGTGGGTGCGTATGCGGAGTTCCTCGACATGACTGCCGATCACAATCACAATGTGGCACTGCACAGTTGAGCTAACAGTGTCACCACGATAGGCCACATGTATCATATATATATATATATATATATATATATATATACACTCGCCATACATATGTATTGGGGCTTGATGGACGGATACTGCTAGGGTGTCCAGCCACTAAGCAGGTGAACGATTAGGGTTCTCGTCCGAAGCCTTTAGTTCTGACCAGAACTTGACCGTAAGGCAGTGGGTGAAGCGAAGTGGAGGCCAAGTTACTTGGATCAATTACTTGCCCACCAGTTTTTACCGACTGAAACGTAAATTCTAGTCGAATCCCCAACCTGGAGGACCAGAAGATTAGACTTCGTCCAACCTCCACCGTTCGACCTTCCAGGCATGATTAGATCTTCGGCTTGAAAAAGGTCATCCTGTGTAGCTAGCTGGGTCAGAGAGGTGCGCAAGCCATCACACCGCGTCAAGGTGCAGTTTCGTTGTGATACGTCGATTGCATTTCACTTATTTCCGGTTGAGAAGTTCACAACCCAACCCGATTTAGGGTTAGAGATACTGATTGATTAATTAATTGATTGTTTGATTGATTTTCAAACGAACAATGTAAAACGTGAGTTTTCTGATTTTGTGAAATGTCTCGATGATATGAGGGGACCAAGACTGATTGCGGGAAATGCTGACTCCACTATATCTGACGGAGCATGCTCTGGGAACTTGTTCTTCATTGATAATAACATACTGACAAGAGTTCATCACATCAATGTATTGGTCACCCCTCAGCAAAGAAAATAAGACATCATTACACTTGGAAAGATTCATTCATCACCTAAATCATGTGATCACAGTAAAAAAACCAATGTCGGATAACTTAAGACTAAAAAAGTGTATATGTAAATCGTCGGTTTGCTAACAATCTTGGTGCCAGCTCAACAATAATAGTGATAGAAAACTAAACAACAAAACAACAAGTGAAGTTGAATTCTCTTTTATTTTACCCATCAATGAATGTGTGATGTATTTTCAGACCATCCTGGGCAATCAGA